AAACAGCATGCTAGGTAGAACGGATGCTTGAGTGAAAACATTGTCTTGTGATAGAGGATGTATCAAAAAGTGAAAGTTCATTTACCAGACTCTGAGATGAGCATTTTGTATTGATGGAGAAAAGGATCGTAAAAGGGTCATCGCATCTCTATAAGTGTCATCCCCTGCAGTCCCAAGACTGGTTACTTTCAATCTCGCTACTTGGATATAACTTGCAACAATTCTCTAAAGAGGAAGAACTTTAGAATAAATGGAATGCTAAATCTGTCTAATTTATGGTATGGAGACCTGGTCAGCTGGGGCCAAGGTTAATTTTATCTCAGCAGAAATATGCAGGGAAGCAAAGATGAAGTCTGTGAATAAAGTCCCTGATGCCTGATGCATCATGTACATAAGTAGTCAGAAATACTGCTCCCTTAGTGCAACTAAAAGCATAGCCACAAATCAGCCACCTAAAGCACAATTTGTGCATTTAATCAAACATAGTTGGAATCCCTATTTTGGTTGCACAAGTTGAACAACAGGCTTTAAAGGCTGAAGTAACAAAGCACATCTGGGATAAGAGACTGATATCAGAGAACTGTGCAGCCTGATGAGCAATTAACAACATGGCAAATCAGTACTAGTGAGGAAAAAGGAGTTTCATTATTTGTGATTCAGCAGAAGAAAAATTTTTTAGGATCTTGCCTATAAAATGGCATATAAGGGAAGCAAATACAGGACTGAAAAAAAATGTAGGGTTATCATTAGTCTTGCAGTGATATCTGTCTAATCCTGTCTAATCAAAAAATGTACCTACAGTTTGAAATAGATATGCAGTTAATCTTCTCATGTTGTTCTTCCTTCGCATATTCAGAAAATGAAATTGCATCCGTTACCTCTTCGCTCCTTGATTACCTGATTAGTGAGCAAGATGTCATCTCACTGTGATTTCTTGGACTTTCATTCTAACAAATTAATTAAATGGAAAGGCCAAAACATCATGTAGAAAATTCTTGCCTTTCATTATTTTAATATGTCATTCCATACTGGAAGATACTTTTCATACACATACCCGAGGTTCACAGATAGAAACCAGAGACAAAAAGGGGGAAACAAGGCACTGCTGGCAATCTCATCAAACCACAAATGTGGGCTAGTCAGATACTGACTCATTACCTGCGAAAGACTGAACTTGTTCTAGACATTCTCATACTCTGAAACAGAGCACCAACAAGGCAAACAAGCTTCAGATTTATTACTTCTGGCAAATGACAGAGGTGTTCGGTCACATAACAGCTGTCTTGTAAGAAAATAAATGAAATCCAAACCATTTTACTGATTCTGTGCTGTTCCAGAAGTAACGCTGGACACGACCTCTGACCAAATGCAGCTCTGTCAGAGTCCAGCAGGCTCCCTAGAGTAGTCACACACTACCAGAACAACCATCGTCAAAATCAACATGTGAACCCAGGTCTTCATTTTTCACAGTTTATCCCAGCTGCTTTACATATTCCTCTGCATTAACTTAAGAGGTGAAGATAACCTGCTCAGTAAATACGAACAAGCAGCAAATAGGCATAAAACTTCACTTATTGTTCAGTAAATACTTTAATTCTATGAATTCCATTGCTGATATTTGTACCCCTTTTCTTTGACGAAAACAAACTAAGCAGTTACCCTGCTGACAGAACAGAATCACTAAATCCAGGTAAAGTTCACAATTTTTGTGGAAAAGGAATAGAATGACAATCATATGACATACATTTATCACACGCCTAACACACTTCTGGAAACTGGATATGTTCAGCAAAAAGCACACAGAGAAGGAATTTAGACAGAACAAAATGAAACGCCTGAAAGCAAGGTTTTTGGCAAGGAACTGTCCCCATTTAGATGAGGAAAGACTGCATTTCTCAGCAATTTTTCAGACCCAACACAAATTCAAAGCTTGTACTTTGAAGAATTTCTCCTGCCCTTCCTAGTTCATGGAAATTCCATCTCCGTCAGCCAATTCAAGGGAATCTGAACAGCAAATTCCATTAACCTGAACTCTGAGACAGCAACTTGGCTACTGTGAGTCACTGACAGCTGGGAATAATCCTACCAGCTTTGGAGAAACACCAAATTCAGTGTGATATCCACCCCCATGTACTCTAGTGTACGAAATCCAGCAAATCTGAAAGGAATCACAAGGATCCTACCACATACTGGAGAGGGAGATGTCAGTCTACTTGAAAAAATCCCTCAACAGAGAGGGAGCCTGCTTCAGGCAGCCCCTGTGCCCACAGCTCCTCAGCACTTTATGTTCAAACCTGATGTTTCTAAAACAGAGATCTGAACTTTTACCTGCACCTGAGTTTCTGGTTTGGGTGATGATCTGAAAAGTGGGCTTAGACAGCTTTCCTGCACGAAGCAGTTATGTTTGCAGTCACCTCCAGAACATCAGTTCTCTGGGCACCAGAAATGAAGGGGAGAGGGCAATATTATCGTATGCAAGGAACTGCTTCACTTTTCACATGCATAAAAGAGTGTTTAAGCCCTGCTCCATCACAGATCACAGACACCACAGAACACCAAGGATGAGCCATCATCTCTTTTCAATGCTTAAAATTACACTGTGCATTGTATACAGCTCTTGCTAGCCAGCTAGATTGATTGCATCCCTTCAGCTTAACCAATTACACAAAAATCACAGAAGGCACACAGTATGCAATTAATTTAAAAGAATGAGAGAAACGAGGAAAGAAGCAACTTAATTCAGATCCTCCAAACTTCTACGAAAGCAGATTTGGAAGCAAGGAAGTTGTTGGTGGTTTTTTTGTTTGCTTGTTTTTAAAGAAATCCTTCTAAAGGACTTTAAAGAAGTTCTTCTAGAGGACTACAACACAAGCAAAACTCAAAAACTGCCCTGAGACAACACATAAGCTTTGTTTGGTCTAATGGCCCTGTCTGCAATAGGAAGTTTTAGGGAAAAAACTTGATACTGCCTCCATCTCACTTATATCATTGAGTTTCATGATTTATCTGCAAAAGGTAAAATGACCAAAGATGCTTACTAAGCCCCAGTACTACCATAGGAATTGCTAAATTGGACCTTATTGGAAATGATTATTCTCAACAACCCCCAAGGTACAGAGAATTATTCTTTATGATTATTTGATAAAATTACAATCTCATAACTATAACTTCTTCCAGGCCAGATCCTCACATCAACCTGTCATCTCTTGCTATTAAGCTAATTTCTTGGTAGCTTCCAAATCCTTCTGCATGCTGTGTTCTCCAAGACTGCTCCTCACCACCTCCTGACAGAAGAAATATTCCAAGTACAACTGGCAACTCCAATTCATATTGCTGTGCCAAAAGTCAGTCAGAGACAGACTTCTGACATGCAGAACCCACTGTGAGTTGCATGCAGCACACTCCTTACTTCAGTATCCTTCTGTTAAGAGACTATCAGTCTCCTTATTCAGAAAAGCTTTTATGATAGGTGTCGTAGAGCAAAAAAGTCACACAGCACCACCTTGCTCTACACGGTGTATTTATCTATGCGCAAAGACAGGACAAGAATCTTGCCTTGCCTTTTTTGATTTCAAATGTATACTCTGAAATTTATTAGACATCTTTGAAATGGCCAAAGGAAAACGGGGAGGAAAAAAAGAAAAAAGAAAAAAGTATAACACCATTTAGGCATTAAATATCTCTATTAAAAACTTTACTACAGGAAACAATAACAACAACTGACCAAATTTCAATCTGTGTATCTCAGAATGTTCAAGAACTAGAAACCCAAGTTTCAACTCTCAAAGTCCAGCTTTCTAATGGAATGTATTTGTGTTTAATCTTGACTATTCATTCCAAGATATTTTTCTTTGTATGAGTTTAAAAAGCCTCTTCAGGCTACTAGTTGGGAACTTTCAGAATGTTTTACCACGGCTCTCTTCAGGTCCTAAGATACTAAGCTGGTGACTCTAATACAGAGTATTTTTACGGTACAGGTAGATAACACCAGTATTTTCAAATAGAGAACAAGAATAAGGAAATTTGTCTGCAAAAGACCAATACACACATAACTGACAGCCTAAAGTTTTATGGATGCTCCTGAAGAATGGACATCAAACCTTATGCATGACATCCCCATTTCTGACAGTTAATGCAGTCATGAAAAACAGACTAATATAAACTTTATGGTATCACCTATTTACTTTCATCTATGAGGTATAAATATTGTCCTATAAACACAGTCTTGTTTGTAGCTTATCTGCGTGCAGACAGAGCACAAACACTACTTCACAACGATAAAGCACTGAGATGTTTTTAGAAGTTCCCTTTTGTGCTAACACTCTTTTATTTTAATCTATTCACAGCCAATTGAAAACACTTGTAAAATGACACCCACACTTCACCTTCACGTGTCTGGCACACACAGTATTTCACTGACAAGGGAGACTTCGAGAAATTCCTACTCAAGTACTACCAGCTCCTTCCCAGTCACAGCAGGGCAATAAACATAAACCGATCTCGTAAGTAGGTCTGGCTGGTCAAAACCTGTTCTCTTTCGAGGAAAGCTTGGGTGCCACAGTTAGTCTCAGAAGACAGTTGATGTGTTAGACATCAGATTTGATGTGGAATTCACACAACTGTAGAAAATAGGTGGTCACAGACTCCTCAGCCATCCTTTCCCATGGCAGACACTAAGTAGAAATCATATTTTTATTACTGTTTATTTCTGGGGTCTTAGAGATTTCTATTGCTCTAAACTCAGATCTGTGCAGTAGGTGAAACACGCTCACCTTTCAGCTCCACTGGTTTGCGGTGCTGCAGAATGCCACAAAATTTACACTAAACCATAATTTCAACAAGCTTTGATGGCTGATGATCAAAACTTTATGAGCTGGTAGATTAGATTCTTCCCATTGCAAACCTAGATACAGTTTAAGGTGACAGGTTCGGTGAGTTTAAATTTATCAGTTCCTAAGAACATACATCTACATCAAAGGGGATAGAAGTTAAATACTCACCCTTTCAGCAGCACCTTTGTTCAGAAGCCAGCACACAGAGCAAAAGCCAACAATGCCTGGCTCACAGTCAACCCTCCAGCTGGGGAAAAAAATAAAAAAGAGTAAAATGGGTCTGGATTAGAGGTACACAGGAAGGAAAGATCAAAGATTACTTTATGGGAGTATTAAGATCATCATGTACAGGTTGAGCAAACAATCACTTTGTTCTAAACACGAACTATTCAACAAGACAGTGCACACACTATTGTGCCTCCTTAAGTCTCAGCAACTACAAGACAGAATTTTGTAACACTGAAATTAGATAAAATGAAAGGCAGGAAGGGAGAGAATATGGTAAGAACTTCCTGGCTTGTTTAAGAGGTGACAGCTCACTAGTCAGGGTTACAACTTCCATGACAGTGCCATCGAGTCACTGAGTTCAGCTTTAAATTTCACATGAGGACCCTTCCTATAATGAAAGTGGTATAACAGCCTCAGATGAAGTTCTCTATATACTGGAATTGAGACAGCAGCTTAAATCCCTGTACAGATGCGTGTAGAGACCACATATAGAAATGCAGTGTACATTAGTTTTGTCTTCGTGTCATTTGAAAACTCAGGTTCCATTTCTACTCTTTACAAAGGAAACCCCAAAACTGATACACTTCCCAAATTCTTTACATAATCTCCTCCAGTTAATTGCAGGGCTGCCTGCCAACCAAACACAGCCACATAACTCCACTCACAAGCCTGCAACGTGGGCAGCTGCTCCACATGGTGACTCCTCATCATCTCCCTCCACCACACCAGAGCCTAGCGGGTACCTGACAGCCTATCCAGAAAAGAAGGAACTGGCACAGCAGAAGCTTTTCAGGTTCACTGCCAGTTTGGCAAAAGGCAAACAAGACGTCTAGGGCCGCCCTTCATTCTCCCAGATGCAGTCACACTGGCTTTCTGACTGCAATTTAACATACAATTTCATCCGCTATGGAAAAATTCTCTGCTGCCTTCCTCTGCACTAAAGAGGCTACGCTCCTGTTCTCACCTCCTGTCCCTTGCAGGCTGGCTGAACATAACTGCGAGGAGTAACTCACAGTCTGGGAGCTGCCTCTCCATCATTTACCTCGATGTAAACAGAAACAAAACAGTGCAACCAGGCCTTTCTCAGTATCAGTTTACTCCCATTTATCTCCAACCACAGCTTTTAGGCAGTATGTAGCAACATAATGCTCTTGAAAATCACTCTCAAAGCTTATTCACCTTTCTCTACCCCCAATATTTTTACATCGTTTGCTCTAATGCTCCTTTTTAAAGCATATTTTCTAAAGAAAGGCAGGATCTAGGATTGGTATGCAATCACATAGATTGGAACTGGCAGGAAACATTAGGGATGCAAAAATAAGAAGGTAAGAAAGGCTGCCAACTTCCCTTAATACCTCAAAAGCAAACAGAAATTAAATGGGTGAAAGAGCCTTACTAAATTATCCAACCTATTTTCATCTGAACATGGACTCTTTGATGTTAGATTATTTTCCAGATATTTCTGCAAGTCTATATATACAAATACATATATATATATATATATAGTTTGTTCTTCCACCCCTTGCTTTGGGGGTGCATTTCATAATCTCATTCCCTCATTTCCAGTTATGTCCCTTCTTACCTTATTACATTAATTACTTTTCATCTTTCAAGTATGCACCTCTCAAATTTTCATTGACTGTTATCACTTCTCATAATAGCACTTCATTTATCACACTGCCAAGAAAAGTATATCTACCCATCCCCATCAATCCTTTGGTCTGTACTCACATGCCATTTTTCCCTCAGCTCTGTTCAGTTAGTTTCTATCTGTCCAGAAACAAGATTTTTGGCCCTGTGCGCTTGGCAAGTTAACTCTCACAGTTGTTCCAGAAGGAACTGTTCTTCAACTTGTATAACCCCAAACCATATTAACTTGTTGCTTGCTTTCATAATGCATCTGCAAACTGGTTGATCTGCTGCACAGCCACCCACCCCAAAGGCTTGGAACAACGCTCGTGCTTTTCCAGTTCCACTCTCCCTGGATGCACACATTTCAGGTTAACTGTTTTTTGACTACATTCTTTCCAGCACACAAATGGGAAATACCTAATTTCGATAATCTCTCCCTACTTCTAATACCTCTAGTTCTTGTGTGTTAAGTGGCCTTTCTTCACCAACATTTGATTTACCTACAACATTTAGCCTCAGAAGTCTGGAAAAAAAGTAGCCTATCAGAAGATTCTCAGAGCCATGCATTTCCCAGCAAGACACAGAGAGAGAAGGTCTCCACGTGACCCAACATGATGTTCAGCACAGCTGTGAATGTGTTTATATTTCTGAGATTTCCTGCAGAGAATTTCCTACTTTCAGCCTAAATCACCCAATGTAAAAGGACAGGAGCAGACCAAACAACCCAACATATCTTAAGCCACGTATGCTACACAGTTAAGCCAACAGCAGTGAGAAAACTAGGCATTTATCTTGCTTCGCTTTCCCACACATTAACCAGCCACACGCTGCTGTGGCCACCACTTGTTGCAGTGCCCATGGAACTTTCCATTTTTAGATTCAGTTTATCGTTCACCTGTGCATTTATAATGGCACATGAGATTACAGAGTGACAGGAGAAAAGCTGGACTGTGTGTAAAGCTATGCCACTAAAAAATGTCCACTCTTGGCCTTGTATTTCCATTTGTAAGCAACACCTCAGTAGAGGAAAATAAAGCTGAACGACTGTAAACTGAGAAGGCTGCAAAAAAAAATGAAGACTATTCAGGTAGAGAGGGAAAGAGAATCACTTTGAGCATGTGAACATGGAAGATTTTCGCACGGCTGCAGGACAAGATGAACTGAACACAAGGTAGATCTGTTAAGGAGTGGAATTCTTTCCAGGATTAAAAAAAACCCTATGGAGTAAAGGAATACAAGAACACATTGTTTATCGGAATGTTCTCAAAAGATTTTGTGAAGTCCTTCACAAAGGGCTACTCGAGTCACTGCGAGGGCAAGAAGAACAAAGTACTGTCACAGGCAGGAAACTGACAAAAAGGATCAAAATGGGCATTGCTGATCAGATTTGAGCGTGGAAGAAGGGTATTTGGGCAGCTCTCAGAGATTAGTATCGATTTTCTTTTGGGTTGTTGTTAAGTATCTGCAAGAGAAAGCAAAGGATGTTTCAGCTGAACACAATTTTCAGTAAGGCTGACTGCACACACCAAAGGTTGTGTGCTGGGTTAGGAAATTCTAACATGAAGGGAACCCTCAGACATTTGGCAGCTAGAGCAACAGAGTACCAGAAGAACACAAGAAACAAAAAGAGAGGCCTTTGCTCATGTGCTCTAAATTACCTGCAGAAACTCTAAGGGTTTATGTCCGATTAGTACAGTTAAAAAATAAACAAGGCACTGAAGAAATTAATAATATTCACAATACATATAGTAGTATTCTTTACTGTATACTTATTGACAGTACTTTCACCTTCAGTTTGCTTCAGTTCACTCTGCTCAAACTGTACAATCTTCACAAAAATGATCAGGGCAAAGAATATGCTTAAAACTGAATGTAAACCCTCTAGAATCAATTTCAGTGCCCCTAAAACCACAAGAGAACAGTCGTGAAAGGAAGTTCTTTCTGGTAGGATCAGTGATATCTAAAGCTTCCGGACACATTTGCCTTTTATCTCTGCTAACATTTTCCAGGGCAGAACTTCAGGAGATCCCTAGACAATCCACTCCATTTAACCACTTGTGCTGTTGGAAAGCTTTTCCTAAAGTTTAGTCTAAATTCTGCACTTTAAGCCCTTTACATCTGATCTCATCCTATGTGAACACGGAGGAAAAAATATTATTTTTCTCTTCGCAGCACACTTTAAAGTTTTTAAATGAATTTATCTTCTTCAGCCTGAACAATCCTGATTCTTTCTTTTCTTGTAGGGCACATTTTCACTGCTATTGCTTTCTCATGAGCTATTTCCAGTTGGTCCTCATCTTTCCTAAGTGCAGCGTGCAAAAGAGGCTGCAGCATTCCAGCTGACATCTTACCACTTCATGCTAGAGAGAAAGATAAGTTGTCTCAGCCGCTGGGCTCCTTCATACACATTATTTGCAGTGTTGACTCATGTGAGAGGTATGATGCTCTGTGCCACCTGCTTCTTTTCCACTGGCCTACTACTTGGCCAGCCTTGCCAGTTCCACACTTGTGCAGCTGATACATTGTGCCTGAGCAAGTTGTTTACTTCAAGCAGCAGCAAAACACACACTGCAATCAAAAGCCAAGTTATTTAAAATGGAAAGATAGAATCAGAAGAAAAGCAGCCTATTTTATTCATCAGTAGAGCAGTAACTTTGTAACGGCTGGTAAAACACACAAAAACAGAAACATCTTCAGTTTCCAGAAGCACAAAGGAGGTGGGTATTTATGCAGTTCTGCTGGTTTGGGTTTTTCTAATCTCACTGCTGTCCAGCAAATTTCTCAAATGCTTCTGAAACTCACTCACAACTGTCTACTTTGGAGATCTTAGCATGCCCTCCAAAACAACTAATCATCAGGTACACAGCTCTGCTCTAATGCAATATTCTCATCCTTTCTTCCAATTTCTCCTAAGTGTATTTTATGATGTAAGTCAGAAAAGTAAGTCAGAAAAGACACTGGGTTATATGGCAATAAGAATTATGATTTCAAAAAAATAAATTTACCAAATGACAGAATTTTTTCTTGCACGTTTGTGCACAGAACCATGAATTCTGAAAGCCATCGTACAGAGTGTATGTCAAAACCTAACACATCACCTACAGTTGAAGCAGGAAGCCATTTTCATGACCAAACTGTTGAAAAGCATCATATCATTTTTATTTCAACTATGTTTCTCATTGCTATTTACATTACAGCACACACTGAGGAGCTTCAGCCAAGACTGGGATTGCTCTATGTTATGAAATCTAGCCAAACACAGGCACGCATCCCCATCTGTGTACACAATCAGGATTCTGTATACTTAATAGAAGACCAGCACAGTCCTACATACTTCTTTAAAAAAACAGAGATAGCACACAGCAATCAGAACAGAAATCTTATCCT